TTTTTCTGAAAACATCGCTTACTCTCTCACTTCGTTGATCTCAGGAAACATAGCTAAGCTAGTTGTCCTAAAAGGCAGTAAACAGCACATAAAACAAGATAAAGTAATGAACTTTCCCAGGTTCTTTATCAGCCATTCCGGATGKARGCTGAATGTAMACAAAATAAAACGTGTGTGAAAATTATCCACTTGAAATGTTTGCAATGGCCTRCGGTACTCCAGCTCATTTCTTATATCACACAAGGCAATCAGCTAATAAMCAAGCTATAATCTTAACGAATTTKATCAGYAGAACGTGCTGTTAGAGTCTCCCATCCATCATGAAGAATAATGGTTGGACGCGTGCTCTTATCAGCCATCGAATTATCTATAATATTGCAATTACTAAGTTTTATCTGCTGAACTTGACARTGCTTAATTGATATTTGTATTCATTAAGAGTAAAGTTTGCGAAGTTAATGATCAAGAGAATGTCAGGCATAAATAAGTGAACGAATGGAATGAGAGACAAATGAATGGATGAATAAATACTAAATGAAATGGATGGATGGATAGATAGGTGGATAAACCTATGAATAGTTAGATAAATGAATAAATGGATGGAAAATAAACAAACAATAACGTATGATAACTACAGTCACGTGACATCAGTGAGAAAAATAAACAAATTCATTTGATCCACTTGTCTCGGCCACCCTTCATTTCTTAGTAACGCGGCACGTGCACTAATCCGGCTTTTTAGTGTAATGTAATGTCAAGTGGGGTATTCATTGTAATACAAAATAGCACGAGTGGTTTTCCCTAGGGCGTAAACATTGGCTAAAGAGCGAGACTCATAAGCTATCGACCTAAGCATTGCAATAAGCATATCACAAGRCATAAGSTGAAAAGGCAAAAGAACCAACATATTAAAGCATTTCATTTTTTGATTTTCTTAATCCCTTCTGATCCCAAAATCTTTTCCCCTTGWGCTTATACCGTTGTAGTGAAAATCAGGTTTTACACCAACTTTAAGAAATGCTTTCCCATTCAAACGACAAATGAAATGCTCGGGAATCTGGGATGTGCGATATCCAGGTGACTTACACAAATAACAATCCTAATATTTAATCTTTAAGTTGTGATTTGGATTTTTATCTAATGGTCATTTTGAATCAAAAAGTATCCAACCACCTTCAATTATCCCACAAGGCACTTTGRTCKTCTTATTCTATGATTAAAAGTCTGATCTACTGTGCGGGGTTAGGTTTGAAGTTCAAACTTTTCTTAAATTCGGTGTAGGCTGATATAGTGTTTTAAGTAAATAACATTAACTGAGTATTTTGATATACTACCTTAAGCCTTTCAAGACCTCCGTCTGTGATGGAAAATTCAGACATGTTTTTTTTGGTGCACGTTTTTCTCTGTCTTCTCTATTTTCGTTGATTTCTTTGTTTTGTGACGTTTTTACAATCTATT